ACCATGGTCCACCAAAGTTAAATCCCCTGCCAACTCTCAACCACCACCTCTCGCTCACCTCGCCTTGCCAGTCGCCGCTGACTTCGCTGTGCGTGCGCGAATTTGCCCGCGGAACTACCTTTTGTCCGCATAGAGTACTATGAGTGCGTAGTTAGGCTAGGCGTGCGTAGTAATCACGGGCCGAGACGGGTGGTCCGGTAAAGTACAATCCAGCCCATCACCATCACACCAGACCTCAAAATGTACTTTGATTTTGAAAGTTCCTGTGAACTCGTCAAACTCGCATCTCCCTTCTTGACTGTGTCTCTTGCCTGTGCAGAGTGCCAGATTAGGCCAGGAATTCATTGTCATGATTGTGGGACTTGCAGTGCAGATCACATGACGGTAGTGATGAGAGAAGTAAAAGAATCCCTGGCCTCATCATCATATTAATATCATCATTTTGAAGAAAAGGTAACGAAGTGGCTAGCCGTACTTAAGTCACAGTGCATGTCCGAATAGTCAGGGTTGTCAGTTTGGAGCCACATCCAAGAAAACTGTAACTTGTTGTTTCTTTTCGATACCTGCTGGTACTCATAATCATAGCCTAATTCTAAGAAGGCTATATAAACAAAAGTTCAAATTAAGGCTATGGCAACGGTAATCTGTAGTTGGCCTCCATGAGGAAACAAGCGCCCTCATGATCATGAGTCATTTCCTATAAAAAAAGGCTTATATACTATAATATTTTTATAAGATATCTAGAGATTCTAGTTAATTTTAAGTATAGTTACTATAGTATAGTAGATCTAGTATAGAAATTTAGAAAAAGATGGCTAGTCATAGAGATAATCAAGATCTAGATAGATTAGTAGAATCTAGTGCAGTGCAGTAGTATATTTAGCCGTAGTTTCCTAATTTGGAAAAAAAGTTGAACTTTCCGAACGCTCGGGAAAATAAACCTGATCTCTATTTCTCGGAATGGTTTCCATTCTCGAGATTTTTGGGTTATTTGCGAGAGTTCGGCGTCATCTTTCATTCTGCGAGGACTGGGAGGAAGCATTTTTTGCATCGAATTCTGAACTTTCTTGAGCAAGAGATTTTTAGTTGTCTGAATATTCAGATACATTACTTCAATTGTGGTTGGGGCAACGTTCTTACTTCATTTGAAAATTCAAAAGGTACTGCAAGAAGACAAGAATCCTCGACTTTGGCAGTTTGCATTTAGTTATAGAGCTGGCCGGCCAAAGTTAAAATTTACTAGGCTGGATTGAACCTTGGTGGACCCACCATGTTGACATATATATAGCCTATATTAACCCTTAAGATTCTGGTCCCTGATAAATGTTTGCCCGATAAGCGCAATCCCGCGCGGCGCTCCACAGCTGGTCCCTGATCAGTCGTCGTCCCGCGTGGGCAACGCATTTCGTTTACGGCGGGGTCTGCAACTGTGTGCTAAAATGTGTATGCATCAATCTGCTTGTGCCTGAGTGTCCATCTCAAACTTACTGCATTGTTTTGCAGCGTGAGGCGTTGGTAGAGATAACAGAGCGTCGGTTGAGACGTTCATCCAATGAAATATGAGCATTTTGACCCAGTTAGACACTTGAGGGACTCGAAAGGATATTCAGGAAATAGGACTTTCATCTTTCAATGCAAACAGCTTTCCTCACTTTTCAAACGATCTAATTCTTACACCAAACGTTGTTTCCTGATGTAAATAATCATATTTGGTGGTTTTTGAACCATTGTCCTACCAGAGGGAGACATTTGAGAGCAACTGAATAAAAAAAATATTCGGAAATTATCCCATTTTTTTCCCCTTTCGAACGATAGCTGATAAGCAGCTGTTCGCAAGTTCATTCATAATAGGTGTGAAATCTGGAAAACTCTGGAAAAGTTATTCGATTTGGTGTAACTTCCAATCTCAGCGTCTCTGATCTACCGACGAGGGGATAATGGGATTATTTGTGTGATCGTAACACTTATTCATTGATCGTATCACTTTGCTATAAAAGATGAGGTGTTTCCCTGACCTGCCGCGGCACGCTCGCGTGACCAGTGCCTGACCCCGGCGCCCCGCGGCACAAGCTCGCAGGCGACGTAAGTTGGTCATCGATCGATAAGAGCCCTTTTCCGGTTAACCCCGCAGGACTAGAGTTAATGCGCACTGGCCATAACAACAGTGGGGGGGTTCGGGGGGGGGGGGGGGGGTAATAAGAGACAGACTGCATCTTGATGTCAGTTCCTAACTACTGCTATTCTTATTTCTTCATTTAGCATACTTAAATTTTAGGAGCAGTGGCATTCAAGAAAAAAAAAGATGAAACAATTTGATAATGGATAGGTCAGGTGTGAAGTTTAATTTTAACCCGAGATGTTTAGAGAGCTTTTTATTCGCAACCATGGTGGTAAAATCAGACGCTCGTCAAAATTTTAATGAAAGCGAAGAAAGTGGCATTTTTCCTTCAGTGTGGAGATTTTTATCAAATTTTTGCTTACGGCCATTTTGCATAAACTGGCTCAACACTTTTTTATCATTATATTTAAAATACACTTCTCATTGAACTGTTCAGATTTATGTTGATTTTTAAAATAAATTTAAGGCACAAAAAATGTAGATTTGCCGTTTCCAAGGAGTTTCAAGCTCTAGAGCTATGATACTCACCAAACTTTGGAGGCCATGTTCTCGCTAATTTAACCTCTGAAACCTGGCGACCCCCACCTCATGTAATCGCAGATATCTCGACTCCTTTTCGGAATAGATAGATATTTTTTTCATCAAAAGCAAGGCAAATGAACCAGCTTTAAGGTGATACGAATATCTCCATATATGCCCTGAATTTAATGAGCGCCTGATTCCACCATGTCATGTAATGCATGATGACTCTTAACTGTAAAGATATGATGAGCTAACGATAAAAAAGTCTCACCTTACCATTGAGATTCATTCCACCAGGCCTACAGCCCTCATTCCAGCAGTACACAACACGAGGAGGTCTCTTTTTTTCAATTTTGCTGCTGTTAGGTCTTCCTAGAAAGCTTGAGACAGCATACATTGTGTGATCTCCTGTCTGCCTTTCATTTCTGAGGATGAAAGCGCCCTCTACTGAGAATGTTAAATGCTGTAGTAGGAGGAAAAATACAGTTTTTTTTAAATCTGACTAACTTTTAGAACTAGGAGTCAAGGGAAGTTTGCAGTGACAGAATGAAGTTCAGTGTAAAAGGGATCCCACCCTAAATCTTACTGGAAAGCTTTCAAAAAATGATAGGCAAATTCTGCAATAGGGTAGTGTCACAACAGCTTTCTGTTTACTCATGCTTGCAATTTTAAAGTAATTGCAGTTACAGAAAGTGTACATTTTTGTACTGGAGAGTCTAAATTAGTGCTACCCAACCTGGGCGAAATTGATCATTTGTGTCGATATTTGGTAATTTTGGTGGGTGGTGAGGATCACCCAGGTAGTGACAGGTATTATTTAATATCCGTTCGTGACGATATGAAGGTGGGCGGAATGAAACTTCTAGCCTCTTAAAGGTGGTTAAAGACAAAAGTGGGCAAGCACAAGTCTAGATTATAATCTACTCAGCCTCAGTATTCAGTTTAATATATTTTGCTATATTGTTTCAAATTGTACTTTCCAGAAACAAAATTTAAACAACAGAATCTCCCAGCATGGCAGCCTATCCTTACAGCAAACACAGTTCTCCCAGCATTTTTCGCCATTGGAGTCGCTTTCATTTGTTTGGGAGTTGCCTTGTTCATAGCCTCTGATGGGGTAAGTTTCATTGAAGTTGTCAAGTGTTTGTAGGAAACTGAATTGGCTCCTTTTTAATGAGAAGTTGAGAAAGAGAGTATTTAGGAGAGAAACTGTAAGAACATGTTTCATATTTATAGTACTGGTACATATTCATTGAAATGCTTTAAAGAACACCATGTGTATGTAAGTCTACTTTTCTCTTGTAAAAGATGTTAGTATTATCAAGACCACTGTTGCTGTTAGAGAAAACAGACTTGTACTCTCACAACTGAAAAAAAATGCTGTAGACACACACATTTCTATGTTAATATAGTACATCGTTGACAGTTTTATTTTCTCAGGCTATCGCCTGTTGGTTTATGAAAACATATAAATTTGCATAATGCTCCAGGTGACGGGTGCTCTGCTGTGGTTTGCTCCTCCTTTCTTGTCAAACATCTGTCATCCCTTTCTCCCCTCCTTTTTTGTGTTTGTTACTCTCCTGTAACACCTGTAATTTTTTGCACTTATATGGCCTTATTGTGTTGCAAGTGCTGTAAAACACTTACTCAAACTAAATTCTCTCATTTCTCACTTTCCAGTCCCTGTTCATTTATATTATATTATGTGTATGGCTGGTTCTTTTTACAGTGAGTGCCAACATCATGTCACGTGGGAGAGAGGATGTATGAGAGAGAATAGTATGTGGTGAGTGGTAAAACACCAAACCATTGTGCCAGCATATTTCCACTATAAAGATTAATTTATCGTATCTTATCTACCTCTATTGCTTTCCCTCTCTTTGTCTCTCTCTCTGTCCCTGCCTGTCTGTCTGTCTCTGTCTCTGTCTCTCTCTCTCTCTGTCTCTCTCTCTCTCTCTCTCTCT